TCCGCATTGGCCTCCAGCAGAAGCCGCACAACCTCCAACTGTCCGGTGCAAGCTGCGACGTGCAAAGGGGTGCCGCCATCATTCTCGGCCTTGTCCTTGTCCGCATTCGCCTCCAGCAGAAGCCGTCCAACCTCCAACTGCCCATTCTTAGCTGCAATGTGCAAAGGGGTGGCGCCATTCTCATCGGCCTTGTCCTTGTCCGCGTTGGCCTCCAGTAGAAGGCGTGTCACCTCAAGGTGGCCGCTCTCGGCTGCCAAAAACAGCGGAGTTTCAGATTCATAACCGAGACCTACGCATCTTAAATCTGGATCTTGCGGCCTTTGTAGAATGGTCTCCACTTCTGCTGCTTGGCCGTCTCTTGCGGCATCCCGGAGTGCTGCCACTTGCTCGTATGATGCTGGGCGGAAGTCTAGACGTACGAGAAGAACTTCGCCGGGTCTCATCGTGTGTTCGTCAGCAAGAACCACACCGTCATCCGGAAGCAAAAGCCTTTGCCTGAATCTTGGCAGCCCGCACACGGGCTGCAAACGTTGCTTCAATGCTCGAACATGATGCGTGCCTTAGTTGCTGAGTTGATAAGGCCAAAAAGGTTGAAACTTCAGTTCTACAAGGGGAACGTGTAACATGTACCCATTCAGCTACTACGATGCCTGCAGGCAGGGACTCGAGGAAGTTCGCAAAGTCAAAGGCATCGAGGTCTTCACCCGACACTGCCCGAATCCGCAGCATGGCTGGCACTAAATGGGAGGGACTGGGATCCCGATGCGGAGATGTGGCCTCCTCAACGAGGTAGTCTAGGGGCTCCTTTAAAAATTGATCAGGGTTCGGGGATGTCTTATAGTAATAAGTACATTCAGTATATTAGGCAGGGATAGGTCATGAAAAGCTTCGTTTTTGAGCCTTCGTGTCCTCCCATTCAGTGCCTCTCCCGTGTAATGGCTTTAAGCAGTCAGTTTCAAACAGCCCGTACAGGAACCCATAGAGGGCCTAAACCATAAACCCCACACCCTACACCCTAAGCCCCAAAACCCCTGCACCCTAACCCCTATAGACCCCTAAACCCCTAAACCCTGAAACACTAAACCCTCAACTCCTAAACCCCTAAACCCTAAACTCCTAAACCCTAAATAAACCCTACACCCCTAAACCCTGAAACCCTAAACTCCTAAACCCTAAACCCCTAAACCCTAAACCCTAAACCCCTGAACCCTAAATCCTAAACCCCCAAACCCGAAACCCTAGACCCCTAAACCCTAAACTCCTAAATCCTAAACCCCTAAACCCTAAACCCCTAAACCCTAAACCCCTAAACCCTACACCCTGGACCCCTAAACGACGCAGGGCAGGGTAATCTCTGGCTTGCTGCCCACCTCTGCGAGGGCTGATCGGAGTGGCGCCAGCTCTTCATTGAGGCCTCGGAGGTGCCATGAGGGTTTCTATACATCTCTATAGGGGTTTAGGGTTTAAGGGTTTTAGGGGTTTAGGGGTTTAGGGGTTCAGGTTTAGGGTTTACGGGTTCAGGGTTTAGGGGTTTAGGGGTTCAGGGTTTAGGGTTGAGGCGTAGCGTTGAGGGTTTAGGCTTAAGGGGTTTAGGGTTTAATGAGGGTTTGAAATCTGCTTTCACCTGCGACGTCAATAGCTCACTGTGGTTTGAACCTTCAAACTGTGTGGACTTCGGGGCTACCTTTCGGTTTGAGTGTTCTGCTGAGAAGCGACTATAGGGGCCCTGAGTATGCCCTTAGAAACCCAGACCACCGGGAGGATCCAAAAAGTAGATCCACTAATTTGGGACCCTAGCTACTAAAGGGTACTTTATAGGAACCCGTTAGGGGATCTATTTTTTGGATCCTCCCGGTGGTCTGGGAATGGGTAACCTTTTTCCTACTGCGTATTCGGTTTCAATAAGGGAACCCGGGGGAGGAAAAAGAGCAGAAGGGTACTACTCAGGAACCTTTGTGCTTTGTGAGTCTAAGATGGCTTTGGGTTATGCTACAGCCTATAGAAGTGGCTTTTCTCACTATTGATCATTACGAACCAATCCCTAACCCCCAAACTTTAACACCTAAACCCACACTCCTACACCGAAACCCAAAATCTTAACTCCTAAACCCTAACTCCTACAACCCAAACCCCCGAAACCCTAAACCCAAACTCACGTCTTATGGCTTGTTAATGTTCGCGTCCAATAACCCCTGAACGCCAAACCCTTCCCCTAGACCCCTAAACCCTAAACCCCTAAACCCTATACCCCCAAACCCTAAACCCAAAACCCCCAAACCCTAAACCCAAAAAACCTAAACCGTAAACCCTAAATCCTGAACCCTCAACCGAAAACCCCTATAAACCGTAAACCCAAAACCCCTAAACTGTAAACCCTAAATCCCTAAAGCCAAAACCCCTAAACCCCAAACCCAAAACCCCCAAACCCTAAACCCAAAAACCCCTAAACCCTAAACCCTAAACCCTAAACTCTTATAGTTGGGTATAACCACTCAGATCCCACGCACTGATATACCCGTTAAGTGTTAGCAGATCAGAATACCATGGCACAAAGCACACGGTCTTTTTCTACTAGAGCACTGATTGGCAACGGTGCATCCATACACAAGGTGTACTACAC